CTCCCCCGTCCCCTGCTCCTCCCCATCATGGCGGATGGCAGCAGGCGAACGGCGGCGACTCCTCCGCTCCCTCACGGACGGCAGCCATCCCTCCACAGCCCAGGCGGCCGGCAGCGAGTTCGTCCCCCCCGGCAACTCACTCCAGCCCACCGCCTCGAGCCTCCACGGTGGCAGACTGCTCCGCTATGCTCGATGGCACCGCGGACTCACCACAGAGGCGAGGGATCTCTGGCAGCGTGCCCCTCCTTCCTCCCAGGTTTCGGCACCAATGTAACAAAGTTCATAAAGTCGGGAAGAAGGAGGCAGGAACCGGCGAACCTTTAAACAAACTTTAATAATAAAATAAACTCAAAATAGCGCGACAGCCCCTCGCGGACGACTGTCGCGCACAAACAAAACCAAAACACAAAATATGATACATTATATACAGTCTTATATTTGTTTTAACTGTATAAATTTGCAGTTTAAATAATATTCATGAAAAATGTCATGAAATTAAAACAATTATAAATCATTATTCAGCAAAAAAAGAATAGAATAAATAAAAGCACAAGTTGTTGTAAAGTATGTATAAGGTGTCAATTATAAGTAAGTACTGTGTTAAAGCTTATAATAGCACCAATCAACACAAACAACATTTCTGAGGAAAAATATTAATTATAAGTAAGCTTACACTTATTCTAAGTTAGATCCACTATTGTATGCTGTTGCCGTATGGCAACATATCATAAAGTACCTTAAAATAATATTTTTTTCCAAATTTTTTTTTACAGCACTTCAAGTTAAGCCATTCTTAGAAAAGAAAAAGATTCAAATATTTTTTTCTATAGGTCTATCATAATGCGTGCGGTAGAGGGTTTTAAACCCTTTTTAAACAGCTGATAAACTATTTCATCCTGGTTAGGACACAAAATCTAAACCCAAACATTTGCCACTGTTTATTTGACATATGACTGTGATGGGCTTAGAGCTCCTTCAGCACACCAAATATTCAACATTATTTTTAGAAATAGTACACAATGTACAATATACATGGATATGTTATCCATATTGGCCATTCATGGCATTACTTTCAATGATTATTGTATTACTAAAATAAAATACATGCTTATACCTACAATCTCATCTTTTTAAAATAAATGAATATTTTTATTCAGAATCAATTTGATCAAAAGTAATAGTAAAGACATTGATAATGTTACCAAAGATTTATATTTCAAATAAATGCTGTTTGTATGAAAATTTATCACAGTTTCCACAAAAATATTAAGCAGAACAACTGTTTTCAACACTGATATAATAATAAAAAATGTTTCTTGAGCAGCAAATCAGCATATTAGAATGATTTCTGAAGTATCATGTGACACTGAAGACTGGAGTATTGATGATGAAAGTTCAGCCTTGCATCACATTAATTACATTTTAAAGTATATTCAATAGAAAACGGTTCATATAAATTGTAATCATTTTTCATAATGTCACTGCATTTTGATCAAATAATGGCAGCCTTGGTGAGCATAAGAGACATTTCAAAAACATTAAGACATCTTCCTAAAAATAAACTTTTTAATGGTAGTGTACATAATATACACCATGTCAATAGGATAATTAACTAATTTGCATAATGCATATAAAACTCTAGATTGGAGCTGTAGTGTAAACACTATTTCTTAAACAATTTTTTTACTGGCCAAAATATTTAGATCTCTCTCTGTGGCCATATTGACTTAACCTAGAAACAGATCTTATTGTCATCTCGTATAAGGAACTCTAATCTCACCAAGACTGTGTCTTACTATGCTTACAGAGTGTTTTGAGAATGAGTTAACACGTGTGTGTGTGTGTGTGTGTGTGGCGGAGCTCAAACAGGTGAGAGAGCAGGTCTGATGTACTTGGAAGGGATTAACTCGTCTCCTCTTTTCACCTCACCCCCCGTCTGATCCAGCGTGTCTGAGTCTTGATCACACCTATCTTAACGGGTCCTGCATGTGTACTCTCTCATGTTTCGTATCCTCTCTTTACCGTGGTGTGGAAAAACAACTTTTAAAAATGTTTTGCCACACTGCAGGACCAAAATTAAAATTAATTAGTGAAGGTAAAAATGGAAAAAAGTAAATAATAATAATAGAAATAAATAGTGACTATTAACAGGCCCTAATTATATTTAAATGTAAACCTAAAATTTAAAGAAATCATTTAAATAAATAAATAGTTACTAATACCAGGACCTAATTATATTTAAATGTAAAATATAAATAAATAAATGGTGACTAATAACAGGCCCTTATTTTTAAATGTTAAACTAGTAATGATAATATACATAATAATAATTAGAATAATACCAATAATATACATATTATTAATAATAATAAATAAATAAATGGTGACTAATAACAGGCCCTAATTATTTTTAAATATTAACCTAGTAATAATAATACACATATTAATAATTAGAATAATACCAATATACATTAATACATTTATTAATAATAAATATAAAATTATTAAATATATTTTAATAAATAAACCTAGATTGAAATAAATAAACAAATTTCATTTCAAAATTCATGTAAACAAACAAATAAATTGTCACTAGTAACAGGAACTAATTTTCTAAATATTAACCTAAAATCTGAAAAAGTGTATTTTATATAT